ATTCCCACAAATTTATTCAGTTATTGTTATGAGCAAAATGTTGGAAAACGCAGATTTATCTACTGATTTATCATGAGATTTTATTCGAGAAGAGAGGTTGAAATGGATTATTTGAACTGAAAATCGTTCGATTTAATTCAATTATTTACTCAAAACCCTATAGAAACGTTTCATATTTGTTTGTGCTATGGCTTAATTGATTGTTGCTGTCGCAGGACGGAGATGTTACAAAGTCTAGCGGTCGTCAGCAGTTGTCTGTCGGGAATCTCGGCATCTCTGCCTGCCTTATCGGGTCCACTATTGAAATTCATTGACACACCAGTGAAGTTCTATCCATTCGAATTCCTTGCGGCACCATCTTCGTTGAAACGTTTGTTTGCTGGTTGTTGTTGTGGTTGTTTTGGATGATTGATTTGTGCTGAGAATGGATGGATAACATTAGACGTCGAAGTGTATTGGAAATACGATGAAGGGAGTAGTGATTTTTAGACAGAATGAATTTTGATGAATTTTCAGTTGTCTTCAACGAGAACGAAAATGTTTCGGTGTGTATATGAATAATGTTTCATGATGTTGATGTAATATGATTTGATGATGATTTAAGCACCAACTCGAAACGGTGAGAACATTCGTGATTTTGTGTTGAGTCGAATGACGGCCGTTGCGGATTATCTGTTGAGAAATCGTGAAGAGGACACGAAATCGTTGAGTGCCGTATGCAAAATCCTCTACATTATACTATTCCAGAGAGGCATCGATAAGGTACAAACAAACAAACGAACTGAAATGCGCTCTTTGCATTCTGATACACTTTTCTGTTCAATTAAACTGACAATCGTGAACGATTGATCAAATTTTTTTGATTAAGTGGCGATATTTTAGGCGAAATACGAAGCTCAAAACCAGAACTATAGCGTATCGAAACGCATTGTCGGTGACTCTGTGCGAGGCAATCGTGCGAATATTGAGCTGGTCACCTTCGAGTATATTCTACTGCAACACAATGTGGGTTTTGGTTTGTCTTGTTCGAAGAGTAACTTTTTTTCAATGGACGAAGAATATCGTGCAGTTGAAACGCAAGGATTTTGAATGGTCTTTTCGTATTTTGTTATGATGGAATGAATTTCGGGAAAAAAAGTTGTTTCTGCTTATTATAAGGAAGAGTAGATCGGTGAGATGAAATGATTCTGGATGATTTGTTTGGAAATCAGTGGGGAATTTGTGAAAGCAATGAGTAATTTAGTTAAGTTGCTCTATTAAAGCCAATTGTATAGAGATTGATTAGACAATATTGACGAATTTTATGGAGGTTAGACAGTGATTATGGGATAAGGTGCGATGATGTGATTGGGATTATTTGTGGATGTTCTGAGAGGATTCAATAAACATTACAGAAACGTTTGCTGGCTCGTTCTGGTTATTTGGTCACAGAGCGACATTTGCAAACGATGAAACTTCTCGTGCGAATTTCTACAAGTGCCTATAGTGCTGTATGTTGTGTTCATTTGAGAATCAATTCTTTGACAGGATTGTCATTCTGATTTATTATTTTCATTTGACTTTAGTCCTGAACATTCAGCAAACAACTTCATAATCTCGCCACTTTACAGGTACGAATCGAAGCTCAGCGCGTTCTGGACTGTTGTATACAGAATTTTCCGTACGCTTATCTGCACATTATTGATGATGTTTTGCCTCTGCTCAAAGAATCTCCTGATATCACGCATAAACAATTCAAGGTTTGTTTGATGGATCAGTGCTGATGTTTACAATTAGTGTAATTGTTGATATTTTGATTG